CCGCGGCATCGCCGATTGTCGGCGCAATTTCACGCGCCGCAGTTTCGGCCGCACGCAAAATTCATATCTGTGCAGAAACTTTCGCAGTAACGCGCGCGCGCTCGCAATTTGCCCTCCTTTTTTCCGTCCCTTTTTGCTAGCCGCGAACAATAGGTCATTCGGGATGAACCGCGCTGGCAATTGTTACACAAGTTTACGCGACTCGAGCTGCGGTGCATCGCCTGCAAACACTCGCGCGGTTCGTAAACCTTTATTTGTCGCCCGGATGCTGGTGTGCGCGCCACCGGGGAAGCACCGCCGGATGTTGGACAAGTCCGAAAAGTCCGCGTATCCGACCGCCGGATGCTGTCGCCGTCGTTGGCAGCGTGCGTGCCGAGGTAACTAATTGCCCCCCCTCCCCCCCCCTCCCCCTTCGTATTGATTTTACGGCCGGTTCCGGGGTATCTTGCGGGAAAACGAAAAATATAATCCGCGCGCGAATGTGTAACGACGGCGAAAAGAGAGCCGGCCGAGCGGCTTTTTACCCTCGTTAATCTACGTCGGGCGTGGCGAGACGGCTGCATCGATCACGAACTCCACTTAACGTGCATTTTGATAAGTCATTGCCGACGTTCATTTCTGGCGGGACACTTTCGCAAAGAGCATATTCCTGTTGCGCGTGAAGCATCTCTGCGAGGCCATAAATTTCCACGAGTTCGATGCGGCTCGAATTAACAAAGATTTTAATGAAGGCCACGACGATAGCGCGCCGAGTCGCATTTATCAAATCAATTTGATATCACGCGTCCGAGATGTTGAAATGTACGCTGTTGAGACTCGAAACCGACGTATGCGTGTAGTTCGCTTGGAACTGACCGGTGGTTTAAATGTTGTTACTCGTTACGCTTCACGCTTGATTCACAAATCTATTCAATTTTCTCACCTGTAACTAATGCCACGACGAGAAAATGAATAGTTGCATGAACGTCGTACGAAGTAATTAACGGTATATTTTACAATACGAAAATGAATGCTACATTACAATACGACGCATACACTTCATCGAGATACAAAACGTAGACCTGTTCAAGATTCTGTGCAAAGAATTACAACTACGGTGTTGCCTCCGTACGCGAAGGACCACATGCGCCCGATGATTTCCGCAAATTAGCGTTTACCGCAACAATTTCTCCGCGATTGTTTTTCAGTTCGCAACCAAATAGAACTATTGCCGCACTTGCCGCGCGGAGACGAGTTAATCTGAAAAATATTTCGACAGATAACATCGGCGGTATTCGCGGATGATCTCGTTGAAGCCCAGTGCCAAAAACGATCGTTCGCCAAATTATCGGCTCTGGCATTTGTGGCTTGATTGCGGAGTTGCCTCTAAAGTGCTGCTGCGGACGATTTGGAAGAGAGACAGAGAGAGGAGGGGGGGGGGAAAGAGGAAAAGAGAGAGCGCGCGGAAATGAGAGAGATCGGCTGGTAGATACAGACTGACGAACAGAGAACGAAGAGAGACAGAGAGAGGAGGGTAGGTACCGATAAATATGGTCGGCGAGCGTGAACTTCTATCCTTCTATACATGACGCCCTCGTAGTTCGCATCCTGCACGAATATCTCTTCGGTAATCAAGCTCCTGGCTGCAATTCGGACTAATTAATGGAGACTGATTGCACGGTCTTTTATTGAGATTGACCTTAATGTCGGCCTCATATTGTCGCGAGGACTTGCTTTCGCCGCTAACGGATGCTCCGTGTTGATAAGATTGAAATTAATTTTTGCAAAAGGAAAACCTTTTTATTTGCCGAGGTCGTTAAAAATCGGCGATAATTATTTTCAACATCCTTTCCGCTGGCACTTGCGCTAACGTTTCGCGATCGGGACTCGAGCAAAATAAGTATCTCGACTTTTAATACACACATACTGGGACACCCTGTATAAGAAGTGAAGAGCTTAAAACGAAATTTATGTATCAATACTTTTTTCATGAGGCAAGTACCCGGAGCAATGTGTAAAAAGTAAATGAAGCTGCAGCGATTTAATCTGCGGGCTACAGTAATTTCGATCTGGGTCAGATCTCGTGTTAAGATTAAACGAAATAAAGAGATCTGCTTTAAGAAATTCCTTTATCCGTATCTATTCCCGGTATGTATATCCGTTCCTATGTTTATATTACGAAACAAAATGAACGAGCTGCACGATCTGGCGTAACAGGCACACAAGTTGCTCTATCTACACTTTTTCGTTGCTACAATTTCATGAGATCCACGTTAAAATCGCGGTGTTTTCTTTCACGCGATCTAGTCTTCAAAGGCGAACGAATTCCTCCTTCGAAAAAAATATCCTGCGATATCTCTTATCAAATTAAATACGTTTCTATAATTGCGACTTATACTCATATTTCTGTAATACTTTCGAGACCAACGCAGTACTTTGATTAAAATTGTATCGAAGCTGAAGAGCAGATGTAGCCAATATTACTGTTCGCTGGTGTCGCCAGTTGAAGGCGTCGTAAGATATACATTTCGACGCTGGTACATCTTAATCGTACGTATTCTAATGGCGACGTAGAATTTAATAACGAGTTGGTGATGGAGAAATCAAATTGGGTAGACTAAATTCCGCGTAAATGGCCGAAATTGTTGGCGAGTTGCGCAGCGCGCTCCGCTGACAAATCGATGAAACTTTCCTCCTACCGGCGTACATCATCAAACCGCGGACTTTCTCTTCGGAAATATCCAGATACCCTTCAACAACATGCAGTTGCATAGTTGTCCGTGCAAAGTTTACGGCGGATCTCGGGAGTCGATGTTCGGGCCCAGAATTAACACGCCGCTATAAAGTTTCCGCGTCGGAATCCGATTACGGCCGATTACGGGTAAAGTCCCCGCAAATGGATTTGCCGCGAAAGTTTCCAAAAACGTTAATCGATCGATTGGTCGCACGGTCAATGATGTCGGGCTTTTCGCGGGCTGACCCATTTACGCCTTCCGGAATAAGGACCGGGGATCGTCCGATCTGTGGCGCGAACGTTATTCATAACCGAACGGGTTTTTGCAGAAATGCGTGATACATTCGTTCATTTGGACATTACGAATAATGCGGCCTAATAAAAGTGATTAACAGAAGTGGCATGCGATATATTAGACATATTCGAAATGTTTGATTAACTGCATATATGTAATTAATTAACTGAATATAACGAGAATGAAAATCTGCGTAGCTGTAGCGTTGAAAACGATATATTCCGGATTCAAGTTAAATGAATTTAACAGTTCCCCATTTCATGAAAAGCGTTAAATATTAAAATATTTAAATGTTTGATGTACGCAGTACATACGCATAAGTAAAACAAACATCTGTTAAATTAGACATAAGCGTATCTTGTAACTCTACAAAAGGATGAGCCAAATTAAGTTTCACATACAAAGATATGCTTGACCGATTCTTCTTTCTGTTAGATCGTAATCTTATCCGAGCATATCTACGTAGAATCTGCCAGTCAGACCTATCGATATGCTTCAAAGTCTCAGATCCATGTAGATATAAATGCTTCCCATAAATGCGCACATTTTTCCTTCTTTCGAGGGAAAGAAGATTTCTCATCGATTGTAATGTCTCTATAGATAGATCTGCATCAAGATCGACAAAATAACACTTTATTGACATTTTCCCCTCTTTTAACGCTCAACAATGTCCCGTTTGGACGAGCAATATAAAACAAGTAAGAAAAACATTATGCTAAGCTATATAGCTTCGCTATCAGATCAACGCGCTGGGACATGGTTACCGCGGAAGTTCGATGCGCTTCCTAACAGTCCATGGTTGCATAGTCGAACAGTCGAAGAGAAGTTTACGCTACGTTTGAGGCTAAATTGGATCACGAATTCTCGAAGTTTCCACCGGAAAATCCTGTGAGGATTTCCTATGAACCGACGGTGCAAACTGAACAAACTTGCGAACAAAAACGAGGTTTAGATTCTGTACTGCTGTTTAATTATTAAAAAAAAATCAAGCATTTCAAAGAGCAAATATTAAAACTAACATATCCGGCGCGTTAAAGTTTCATTCCATTATTTATTATTTCATTCCATTTGCGATGCTATTTGGAAGCGTGAAAATAGCTCAACAAATTACCCTCACAAATTACACGCCATTTTGCCTTCTGATATAAATTATTTCCGGCAGCACGCAAGAGTGGTTCACTATACTTGATATACATACGATACTTTTATATATACCGATTCTTACCACAAATGTACAATCTCTTTAACCGAGTCAACAAGTCAATTTGTTAGCATAATGAAATTCTCACCTCCGTGTCGCAGAGTTCTTTTTAACAAGCGATCATTTTTCCTTTCTGCACATAGTAGGCATTATATGATGCATAACTGCAGCGCTATCAAAGCGGAACGGTGCGCCGAGAATGCGGAAGCTCATAGTTAATCCACTATTCATCCCGTAGCCCTCACTAACCCCCTCCCCCTGCAGAAGAATGTCCGAAATTGTTCGCGTGTCAAAAGACGAAACTTTGTAGTGTTGGAGCCGGCACGGCACGCTGCTCCGTGAATTTATGCAATGCGTGCGTAAACATTTCTTCTATCTCTTTCGCTAAAGAATTGCAGAGGTGCAAAAGATTGCAGGCGCGGCATATTACGAATTTTTGCGCTTTTGCACCGAATGCGTTGTGCGTTTTGAAGTTGTTCTTTTGCCGAAAAGGCCAGGCCGCTTCTCCCGGCTGGCCCTTTTCAACGTGCTGATTTACGACGCCATTTCACACGCGAAAACTGTCTTTTGTCATGGTGTGAGGAAAAGTACCTCTGTTATGAAAATCACTGCGCCTTATATATTCATTCTCTTTGTGTTTCGTGATTTACTTTTCTTTTGCGCGGTTTTCAATTTTCTATTAATAATTTTCGGAGGAAAAAAATGCAATAAAAATGCCTACATTTGATGACGAATTTCAGAAGACATAATTGACGATAATGATGTTAAAAGTTGGAAATTCTTGCCCTTACCTGATTGCCATGCTCTTTGCTTTCAGATGATGCCATCTCTGGTTCATTTCATCCAATCGACGTTGCAGCATAACAGCGTCATCTTGACTCGCCAGGGAACTCAATAATTTTCGCCCGGTGCCGTTCAAAGATGCGTAAACGTCTCGGTGCGTTTCAATTTCCGACTGAAGATCCTGCAACAAGCAGGAGGATGCCTCCTTAGATCCTTAAGAACGAGATTACAGGACTCCACGGGTAGGCGCGTTATTCCAACAAAATGTATATATATTTATAATTGTACTATCTTACCTAATTGTAATTACCCAAAAAAATACAAAGCAATCAGTACAAATACCATAGTTCTTTTCATTAATTTGAAACTATTGTATTTATAATGTAAAATTAATAAAGAAACTTTTTAGTAGCTGAAAGATTTTGCATTATTTATTTCGTTCGTTATTACTTGCAGACAAAAATAATTCTTTATTTCTAATCTGCGTCAAGAAGGACGTAAAATATTAAATTAATTGATACGAATTAATACGTTTGAATATATAATCCAGCATTTTAGCACGTAATTTCTCACAAAATATAGTTTAGTAATAATTTGCGCATATTTCTGGAGAGATATAAATTAAAAGAAAATACAAAACTTTCGATTTTAGGGAATCCGATCCTTTTTATGGAAATGGTGAGCGTTCGCGCGGCAGAGAGAGAATTCGTGGTGTTTCGTCATCGCGATGACGTGAATTGCAGTCTGCGCGTGGATAGAAATGATTTATATACGAGTTTCCATGTACAACGGTGGTATACGAGTACGTCGGCGCCGACATGCAATGCATGCGCCAATGAAAATAAATCGGCGCCGATGCGAGTGAATTAAGAAATATTCGCTGGCGTCACGGCAAGAACAATAGGATTTGTTTTGTTCCTTTTAAAGCAGCTATGCATGGTTTCCAGTTACGTGCAAATCTGGTCTTACTTTATTCCACGCTCCTTATCAATATGAAATTAGGCGAAAAGTTTCATTATAAGCCGAATTTTCGGAGAATCACGGATTTCTCTTCCGAATGTTAAAAATATTTATAAAATGTCAATTAATTTAAAACTGCACAATTGGAAATTTTGCCATTCATAATTCGTTATTTCTAAATCAATATAAGCCAGCACAAATTAATCACAAATTGAAAGTCAATCAATTTGTGTTAAATAAAGTTATTATAAAGTAATCACGTTATGTTTAATTGATGATATTAATAGCTTATTTTAATATGGTATATGGATGTCATTCCGTTTGGATTCGTACGAATATTATATATCAATTACCTCTCTATTACAAAGGTATATTTTATATTTTGATTTAGATAATTTAAAGAAAAATAGTGATTTCTGGATAAAGCAGTTTCGTCACAGAGACTATGCACGTTATATTAATACGGTAAAAATAAAAATGTTATCAAACGTACGGTGCTGTCACTCCGGCTTAATCCGGCGTCAGAAAATATTTGAAAATAAAAAGAAAGAGAACGTTCCCCAGAGAAATAACATGCAATAGCAAACGACACTACAAAGACCGTGAAATATCTCTCGTTTCCGTTTGTCGTGGCGTTGTCTTAATCTGAAACCGTCTGCCTGTCAACGACGGTCGCACTCCCTTTTCAAATCCCCCAGCCGCCCCGTCCCCAACCCTCTTCAATTTTTGACATGCACGAATTGAAGGCTGCAATCTCGAGAACGATTCTGGCCCAGGACTCGATTCCCATCTGGGTCGATGATCGACGGGTCAGAGCGAGATATTTTTCAGCTGCAGTTTCCGCGCGAATTGACGCCGGTGACACCCGGTGTGCATCGTGGAGACACGCGTAATGAAAAAAAGGAGAGGAGAGCGTGGCGCTCGCTTTTCTCTCGGAAAAAAAAGGAGTAAATATATCGACGGGGGATGCCGCTTGCGCCGGAGAACCCGCTCCGGAAAATTGGGCACATCGATCAAACTGGCTCTTACTCAGGGACAGACGGACCCGTACGTCCGTCGAGCGCTCCAATTGGTAACGTTTAATTGGCGCTCTTGGTGGCAGCTTGCGCGGAAGCTAATTTCGTTTAAAGCTCGATGGGCGCGTGGAGTTGCCTTGCACTTCCCTCTTCGAAATCTACAGATTATAAATTACTACGTCGAGCTTAGGCGAACAGTGGCGGTCGGTAATAAATATTACGATGCCGGATAATATTTTTCATGTAGTCCAGTCGCATTGTTCACTGCACTGTTTAACAACGTAAGAATGAAGTCACGCAAAAGACATATAGATATATAGAAAATATAAGCTGGCTAGCTCACAGTAATCTCAATATTTGTATGCCGCGTGTGTCTGGAATTATTCATTACGACAATAATTAATTTTATTCCTACACCCTCGTCAGAAAAAAGAAAGATCGTAATGCAAATTGAAGTTTATAACACGTGTTTCTTTCGTTACTGTAAACACAAATTTTACTGTAACTACAATTACGTGAAATTTTTCTACTTTGACGTTCGTTCAATTCCAAGTTTATTACACGTCACCTAACAGGGACAAGATGAAAACTTTAATGATCGAAAATAAAAGAAATTGACTCGATAAATTTTCGCGATGCAATTTTATTGGGGAAAAAATTCGTTGGAATAACGAGTATCTTCTCACGGGCTGATAAGATTTGTTTCGCCGCACTTGACAGCTAACAATTTCGCAAAGTTGTATCGATGTCGTTGCGATCTCTCAAGAACGTATCCCCGATGTCGATTAGATTTTTCGCGCTAATGGAGCTCTCCCAGGGACGCCATCGTGGCGGGCTAAGTATTAAAATGTTCAGGGATGCACCAGGGAGATGGCTCGGAAAAAAGTGCAAAGTACAAAACGTTTTTGCATTATCCGACGCTGCTCCGAAGTTCTTATCGCGGTTCACTGTGCAATTACGCAAATGCGCCTTACCGGCGACGTCGATGTGCACGGTAGCCGGAACACACAGCATATACAAGGTGTGCTAAAAGGCTTGGATTTTTAAAGTTTCCTGACAAACTTGCCATTGAATTTTTTTCTTATTAAAATTCAGTCGCAGAATTGCATCGTCGCATAAAGATCGGGAGAATTGCATAAAATTTTAACAAAGGAGCAATCGATTTCTTTTAAATTCGCTGGGGAATCTGCGACTGACGAAGAAACGGGTCTCTGTTGTGCGCAAAATGGATGGGAAACACCATCTGCCTTTTCAACTTTTAAGAACGCGTGGATAAGTAATTAAAATAAGCAATAACATCAAATGCGCGAGTACAAAATTGATAAGAAATAAGTGGCTTTCTTAAAACGCGAATACGTGAGGTACGGAAAGAAATTATTCGTAAATATTGAAATATCAGGTAAAGTGGCGACTTTACAATTAAAGAAAAAAAATGTCTCTTTAATTCGGACATTTAAACAGTAAAAAATGAATTTAAACAATTGAAAATTATAATCGTGAAGTATTCTGCACAACTGCATTATCGAAAGGACAACGTCACTTCCGTTGAACTGATTTCCACGAGCGATTCTAGGCACCGATTCGCTCACGCGTCGCGCATTTTGTCACTTGGCGATTTACAATGCGATATATACGTCCGATAATGAAATCAACCAGCGACGTCACTAACGACACGCAACCGACGTGACGATAGCACGATTTCGCTTTTCGCTTTATCGACAATTTAATTAATTCGCTCGTCCCCGCTCGACCTTTACACGTCATTCATTTAATGTCGATCGGCAATTATTTTAATTTCACGATAGATTGATAACCGCTTTAGAAAAAACAACAGACGTGACATCCGCTTTTCTACCTAATACGAGAAATGCTAATTACTCCGCGATAGCATAATCTTTCTAACGAGCGGCATAATATATAGCTTATCTTTTAATTAGCAAATGAAATATTGCTATTATTAACTCGACGTTGAGTAAAATTCAACGAAAAAAAAACAGGCGCTTTATTTAATAAATTCGAGCAACATTCTCGGGATGTGTCGCTATTTCCATTAAATAGAAGTTACGAAAACTCACCATCGTTATTTTCCCGTTAAATACCATTCGCGAAGGTCTAACTCGAATCTAATAAGTGCCTAAATTTATGCTTAATATTCCTACCCACGTAAATGCGGCGATTAAATCAATTCCAGGAGCTGTCGTAGAATATCTGAATTTAATTGGAACCGCGAAACTAAACCGTTAATCTTAATCCAATTCTCCACAAGGATGGATGTAATATGGCGTCTACGTTCTATTAAAGACGAACAACGATTTATCGTTGCAATTAATACGAATAGGAAGGAACGAGTGAAACATATAACAAACAATTTCGTATCGATGATTCGATATCCGTGATTAAATATCTTCCATGTCAAAACAGGGAAATAAGCCCTGATCGTTTTCAATGGTATGAAATTTTATTATTAATCCCGCTTACGTATCGTAACGTTGCGAAATTATAATCTCCAGCTTTCTACGTAAAAAGGTCAAATTCAAATGGGAACCCGCAAACATTTCATGAAAAGTCATATTATTGTTTCCGCGCGCGAGTGCCCGATATTATATTCATCAACCCATTACACCAAACTGAGATATTACTCACTGATTAACATATTGCAATTAATGTATTTCAATCGGCCATTGGTGTATCATATTATTATACGTAACATCTGATACACGTATCTGGTATCGCGCATAAAATGATATTAATACTAATTTGCAATTATTCCAGCGTACCGCGATAAAACCGTGACTTGAATGTAACATTTACAAGCGATTCTTATATGTGACATTTGCCCCAATAGCTTTGTACACTCATAAGCGAGGATTACAATATGTAACACCATAATGCCGGCAAAATCAATTTGTAAAGCACAATGCAGTTTTTCTGTTGTCGCGTTGATGGAATTGCCCGTCCCGTAATTAGCGGAAAATGACCAATTCGAACTCGCGTTTGAGCGCGCGATATCGATTGCGAGCGGCGAGGTAGGTTCCCTAGTTTCCTTTCCCACTGGAAAAATCAACAGAGCGCAGATTATGAGCGCGGACGATCCTGAGAATAATATTGTTTCGAAACTTCTCATCTGTCAATGTGGTTGTACTGAATTATAGCATTATATAATTTTTCTCTTGAAGCAAAACAAATGAGTTTTCTC